TATAATAGTAATTATAAAATTATAATTTTTAAAAAAAAGAATAAAGTATTATTATAAAGCTTAAATATATATATTTTATAATTAAAAAAGAAACTAAATTATAGATAGCTTAAGTCTTTTAAAGTATTAGAGAAAATAGATATATAAATTTATAAATTAGATCTCTTAGCTAGATATAAAAAAAAAAAATTTATATTTTATATATTATTATTAGAGCTATAATACTCGCGTAATAATAATTTAAAGTTATAAATAATTTCAATTAATAAAAAAGAAGAATAAGAGATTAATAAGATATTAGATAAAAGAGTTTATAAAGATAAAACTAAATATCTTATTAATTAAAAAAACTTTTTATTTTATAAAGCTTTATAGAAATTAATTTAAATATCTCGAAAATATTAAAAATATAATTAAAGACTTTAAGCGAGTAAAGAAATTATATAAATTAATATTTAAAATAAAGTTAAAAATATAATTATTAAAAGAAATTAAAAAATAAAAAAGATTAAGAAAATAGTAATAATAGAGAGTTTAAATAGATAAATAAAATTATAATTAAAAGATTTAATAAATATAATTAAAAAGTTTATAAGTCGATTTTAAAGCGTTAAGACGCTATATATAATAAGAAAAATAGTTATTAAGATTATATATATAACTATTACTATCTAATATTAATCTATCTATTCTCTTATATTAAAAAATAATTTTTTATTTAAAAGATTTATTAAATAATAGAAAGATTTAATATAAAAAATAATAAAAGAAGTAATAGAAGAAATAGCGAAGATAATATTATTATATTAAAGTTTCTTAATATAATAAATTATTATATATATTAGCTATATAATCTAATATATATTAATTAAAATTTATATTACTTTATATCTAAAGAATAATATAAATATCTTTATTAAAATAAGTTATAGCGAGAATATTAATTTAATAAATAAGAATTAAGTTTATAATATATATATAACTCTTATAAAAATATTATCTATATTTACGCTAACGCGAATTAATAGAAAATACGATATAAATTATATAAGAGTTATATATAAGAATATATATATAATAGTAATAAAAGGGAATTAATATATATTAGCGTAATCTCTTAATTATCTAATATTTCTTCTATTTATAAATAAAGATAGAAATAATAATAAAAGAAGCTATTAAGCTCTTTTAATTAAATATATTTTTAAAATAAATATAAATATTTATTAGCTATAATAAAGGGCGTAGAAATAATAATAATTATAAGTACTTAGTAACTTATAAGACTATAAGAGCGAAGGGTTAGTATTACTATTAATATATTAATATACTTTTTATACTATTTATAAAGTATTATAAAGTATTTTTTAAAATATTAATTATATATAAAGTTAATCTAAATAACTTTAATCTTACTTAACTATTATTTTAATTAATATATATATTATATTATTACGATAATATATAGCTCGCTATTACGATATTATAATAAAAATAAATAAAAATAAAATAGTAGATATAAAGAAGAATTAGATATTTATTTATAATAGCGTTAATATTAATATTATTATTAAGAAGAATAAAAGTTAAATTAAAAGTAAGACTTTTATATTTATTAGTATAATATTTATAATTATAATAATAGAATTATTATAATTATTAAAATAATAATAATTATAATAGCGTATAATAATAGTAATAATAGTATATCATAATAAGATAATAATATATTTATATTTTATTAATTAAGATAATAATAAATAAAGCGATATTATCGCGATTTAGTATATAAATATATTAATATATTTAAGAAGACCTCGAGATAAGTAATTTAAATACGCTATTATAGTATATATTAATTTAGACTATATTTAAACTAATAATAAATAATATATATAAAATTAATAAATTTATAGTATTTAATTATAAGATATAATAATAATAAGATTTAGAGATTATATCTTTTAAGAGAGAATATAATTATAAGAATAAAAGTACTCGAAGCGAATTAATAGACTCGCTTATATTATTTATTAGATTATAAACTATATAATTAAAATAAATATTTAATATATTTAATAAAGTCTTAAATACTTATAAGTTTTCTTTTTCTCTTTTTTTTTTAATTATTAGTTTATCTAGTAATTAATCTATTTATTCTATTAACTATATATCTAGATCTCGTAATTATATAACTACTACGTAATTTTATTAAAAGAGATCTTACTATCTTATATTAAGAGAGCTAGTCGACTAACTTAGTTAATCTAATTAAAGAGCGTAATAATTTTAAATTTATAATTAACTAATAAATATAAATTTAAGATTCTTTAAGATAATTATATCTTAATCTTTTATATATATTAATTCTTTTAAATATAAAGCTAATCTTATTTAATCTTTCTAAAATAATTAATATTTAAATATAATACGAGTAAATTTATAAATTAAATATATAATCTATTTTTTTAATTAGAGCTATCGAGTAAATTTAATAAGTAATCTTTAGCGAGCGATCTTTAATAAGCGATATTTGAATTTATTACCTTTAAAGAATTATAAGATTAAATTTTAAGATTTTTTCGTATTCGAAAAGCGTAAATTACGATCTATAATTTAAAAAAATTTATTAAGTTTTAATAGAAGATAGTAAAGTTATTAAATAATTAAAAGTAGAGAAAGAGATTTTAATAATTATAAACGCTAATTTATTTATCTACGGTGTCTAATTAAAAAGCGTAGCGAATTCGAATTTATAATTAATTATATATATAAATTTAAGATTTTATAGCTTAGCTCTATCTTATTCTATTATATATATTAATATATATCTACTCGATAATATCTACTATAATTTAATATAATAATTATAAGACTATAGAGAATCTTATATATTTTAAGATTAGTCGACGCTTAGAGAATAAGAAGATTAAGAAGTAATTTAACTTAGTATTATAGATATTGTTTAATTATAGCGGTTTTCTCAGTATTCCTATAATGCTTGGCTAGCTTTTCACTACTGGGTAGCCCGCGCCCCCAACACATATTAAAGGGTCATGGTGCCTCATTCCCTAAATACGCACGTCTCCTATGCGACGTCTACCCTCAGTAGACCAAAATCGTTGACCGTTCCAGCTTTCTATCATCGTCCCATCCAGTATAGTACCCAAGGTTTTCAATACGAATACATTCTCCCAAACATGTACGGATCTCAGAGAGCACGTTCGGCCAACAACAATGCCGTCGGTAACACCGCGTATGGCCGCGAGCAGTATCCTCCAACCACGCATCTCCAAGGAGACGGACCGACCGACCATCGAGGTACCCAAAGGTCAGACCAGGCGGTCCGCCTCTCCGCGAAGTAGTACGCGGTGTCTTTCACAAAGACCCATATGGAACAGGATGGATCATCCGCGCGCCCCTACACGAAGAAGACTACGAAGGCGGTGCGAACTATCGAAGCAAGTACATTCCGGAATCCAACTACAACTTCGTGCACACCAAAAAGCGCTTTTCATCGTCTTGGCCGAATACCACGACCACTACCTAGCTACCCCCCTATACACTCACGACGACACATGTCTCGATCGGAAGCCGAACCAAGACGGATGTGTGTATGTGCATGACAGGTATCGCGTGAGCAGACGGCCTTTGAAACAGAGGAAGGATCGGCATCTTGCTGCCACTATCGATCTCCAAACCAGGATCCCGCTTTACCGTCCAAAGAGTGCGGCGCATCTCAATGAATCATATTGTGGCGAGGAATTACTCCCTGAAGCTTGAATACCAGGGCCATCTTACAGAAGACTCCGTCAAGAAGGCGCTGGATATCCCAAACCCACATTTGACAAACAAGCTCACGTTCAAACGATGTACAGCCTAGACTGCAGTTGTGGTCTAGGTCATTTCCCTGCAGTGGTACCGGATCTTGACATCCAGCCGGCTGGTCTTGGTGGGTTGGAGCGAGTTTTGTTCTGGCTTCTTGATTTTGGGTAACAGTCGTAATGCATTTGCCATCGTGTGATTGTCATTTTTGATCCTACCTCAGAGGCTTCTCTTGCGTTCATCTGCCTGTTAGTGATGATGTTGAACAATTTGAACACCAAAGCATTTGAAAAGTGCTCTAGCTTCGAGGCTGTTTCCTCTCGGACTGGCTTTGCCCCCAATCCTGTCATAGCAACTACGACTCGAACTTTGCCTTCTTCCACTGAATCTCTTTGGGCTCCTATGTCGTTTCCTCAATGCTGTTACCGTTGGCTACTCCTCTTCAGTTTCGCCGACTGTATCTCCTACAGGAACCTCCTCCTTCTGGAGCGAATTGCACTCTTTCTTCCAGCTTCCAATCTCGCGACGTAATGAGGATCATCGACCATACTGAAGCTATCTCGCAGCTCCACAAGTTTCGCGTACCACTTGTCGATGTCGACTAGCTCATCGTACTCCGGAGTCGTCAGTCTTGTTCAGCCAGCTTTACACAAAGTTTCGGTCCACGGAATCTATCGAAACCCGATCTTCCACCCGATAAGCTCTGAAAGCCTTATCGATGACACTGGTCGCCTTCAGAGCTAATGCACCGACTGCTTTAGCTTGCCCCTAGGCTTGTTTGAAAGACAGCTCTCATTTGACGATGTAAAAGTAGGTGAAGAGATATGAAGAGGGGCCGGTTGATACGGATAGGTAAATACGCAAAAGAATAGTCTGATCGCTCGCTGCGGGATTTTGCTTCTGCACCCCTTTCAGCTTGCATGCATAGCCGCATACGCTAGTGCACCCAAGCCGTCAGTCCACCAATCCGTACGGCTACATGCATGGATCTTCACTTTTAGCCCGCAATGCCTTGTTTGCGATATCACATTCTTGCAAGAAGTCATAGCGCTGCCTTCGCGGGTTTCAGCAGTTTACCCTGCTGTCGATCTCGAGTTCTTTTCCTCAAGTATGGGTCCTTTCTTGCTTCTTCGCCCGCTCTTCGTTCTGCTCTGCTGTTCCATCTCCAGGCACCAATGGATCCCTCACCCGGCCCAAAGTATTTGCCGAATCCGATGCTGTTTGGAGCTGAAGTGGTGTCAGATCCTGGGCTCGACCCCAGAGTGTCGGGCAAAACCCAGACGCCAAAGCTTGATATGTCTCGCTCAGGGCTTGGTATCCAAAAGACAGGATTCTCGGAATTGGTGCGAAAGCGTACGAGAGATGCCAGGGCCATGTCCATCGCCGACGCCGCGCTTCCCGCTCGGTCAAGCTATAGACCGGGAGAACAGTTCGCCCTACCTCTCCGGCTGGCATTAGCGCAGCGCTCGGTGAAGAATCAGATCTTCACCTGCATGGACCAGGGAGACAAAAAGGCAGAAATCGAGTCCAGAACCGGCCTTTCGCACCAATGCATCAAGTGGTATAGACGCATGTGGAGGGCCGAACGCAGTCATCCACGTCCTCAATCTAGGAAACTCCCGAAGAGCTCAGCGCGGAGACCACGCTCACCGAACACGCGAAATGAGCGAGCGTCGCGGAAACGGCGGAGGTATGAGGATCAGAGCGACTCCTCGGTTGTCGGCAATCCTAGTGGTTCCAAGCGGCGGCGACTGCATCGTACCGTGAAGCAGCCGAAAGGATGCTCCTTGCGTGCGGGAATGGAGGTGTCTGAGGTTGATGGAAGGGATTTTGCTGAAAGGAAGACGAGAGGACTCAGCCCTTCACAGTGCAAAGAGGACATTCCGGAAAGGGATGAGGCGATGTCGATGTCAGGCGAGTTGATGACATTGCCAATTCGTGATCTTGGACCATAGCGGGACTAGGTGACTTGAACGGTACATTTGACGTCTTGAGTGTGCTGCAGTTTTGTTTGAGATCATTTAAGGGACAATGGGGTAAGGCATTGGTTATGCTAGGAGGATGTTGTATACAACTCTTCTCCACCAATTTTTCGGCGTTTCCCTCACGTGAGGCATAAGCACAGCGGCGGCAGAGTCTCTTTGCTGTGAGTCAGTGCTGTTGAAGGAAAGACTGTGTCCATGGAGCAGATACTAATGCCCATGCCCGACACGCTTGCACTTTTTTCAGTGGCCTTTTCGTACGTAAGCTACTCACCGTCCTTCAACACGTAAGTGAGCTCGGGTAGTCGAAAGTTACATCTCGCGCTGGATCTCCATCAAAAAAACACAATCCGTTGATCCATCTTTTCGCTTCCAGTCGAGGTAGGCCTTTGAAGGTGTGTCCTGTAATATCGACTTCCAATGAAACAATCTTATCCAAAAGCCTCTCTGCATATACATCATCTAGCGCCTTACCGCCAGATCCAGCCCGGCTCCAGGCTGTGAAGACATGAGATGGCGGTTCCAGAGCAGCATCAGTTACAAAAACTCCACGGTATGGATTAGTGCCTTCTAGACAGCTCAGGTAAAACGATTCCTGATGGCTTCCACAACTTCCTCGGCCATCAAGTCTTTGTACTGCTTCGACGGGTATTGCTTGCCCTTAGCGTCCTCGTCCAGATAACCTTCAAGATCGACTGCAAGCCTCTCGTGGCCTTGTACTTGCAACTCAACAGAGAGTTGCCGCAGCCGTTTCCTCTGATACGCGTTCAAGCCATTGAGGGATCTCTTTTCCGATGGCATTTCAGAGGCAAAGGTCCCAGTATCAATCGCTTTGTATAATTTCCAGAGCCGACCACTGGTCACGATGCCGTCTGGGGAGAGCCGAACGTCGACCAGGCGACATGGGCCGTCTATGGCAGCTGTAGGTCACGGACAGCTCAGCGGAAAGGAAAAAATGAGACTGGTCAGACCTTCCACCGGACGCTGACTTTGGTTGGTTTCGGGTTTTCAGCTCGGGCTCACAAGGCTGTGAACATCCCTGACCTTATAAACACACACGATGGTCTCAGCCGCGTAAGAAGTATCGGACTAGGGATTGTGGAAGAGTACGTTTTTGATTGGCATCAAAGTTGGTACTCTAAAGCGCGACTGCTGCAGGTGATCTTATTAACCATCAACGTACGAACAAGTCATTTTTGCCTCAGTACTTGGACAATCACGCACAGAGTGACGAAGGTAAGCATGCCTGCTTACGCCAAGCTCGCGTCGCGTGCAATCCTCCCCACCAAGACACTACAGACATAGTAGAGTCAAGGCGACAGTTGGAAGGGCCAGAATCCTCATCACTTCGACCAAAAGAGCAAAAGAGCATCCATCAATGAAGACGTTTCTGAAGTGTAGAGTATACACCAGTTCCGAGCGATGTCAATCACGAATAATCAATGATCCCGCAATGATCCCCAAGAATGACGCCGCGAGAAGGAGCGGGCCTTGGCGGCTCAGGCGCGCTAAGCCCATTAGAGGGTTTTGAACCCCGTCAACGTTGAAACCTTCTCAAGAACTTTCCACTAGGTGAGGGTTTCCCGAACCCCGGGAATCACGCGTTGATCAAATGTTTGAAGTAAAGGATGGTTCAGTATTAATGTAGAGCTCAACTCAGACTGCCACTTTTCTTGATACTTTGCCTGCCAACTATTCATTCTATGAAAAGCTCATGTACAGCTATCACTGGCATTATGGCCGGAAAGGCAGTCCCAAGGACATTATGTGAGTTGGTTTGGTTCAGCACAGTCATCCAGATTGAAATTCCTGGGCTCAGTTGGCAGTTGGAAGATATTACGTGCTTGAGAATCTGTCCAAGATACGTGCTAATACTACACGACCTATATACTCGTCCCCCACTCTCCAACGTGCGAGCGACACAGTGAGACGGAGTGTCGACGCTTCAAGGACTCTATGCTCCGTACCAAGAAACCTACCTGCACCTCTGGGCCACCAACCTGAGTGCGCATATCCTCCCATATGTCCAAGCGGATATTCTCCCAACGATCAATGTCTTTGCGACAGTCATCAAAATCGACCTGGCTGATACTGTCCGCCGGGTCGACTTCGTCTGCGTACCAATCGTCGACCTCTGGTGGATTCAGTTCCAGTTCCAGTTCCTCCGTGTGACTCGGTTCTGGAAGTTCTGCCAACCAACTGTGGACATGGCTCCAGTCTTTTGTGACTAAATAAGACGCCAACTGGCTCTCTGGCCAGCTCTCCTCGTAGCAGCCATAACAACTCATTGCGTCGTCGTAGTCGGATCCAATCGCACCGACAGCTTGTGCCTGTTCTTTCGCAGCTTCGAATGCTTCCTCGGCATTGATCAAAGCTCGAGTGACTTTCTGTCCATACCGGATCTTTGACCGATCGAACTCACTGCGGGATATATCATAAACACCATTTGCGAAACCTTGCTGATAGTCTGCCAGATCTGTCTCATATGATTGTTGTCGGTTGTCGAATAGCGCTTGAACCTTGTGCATTGTCACCAAATTTTCGTTGTATGACTCCCAAGCCACTCGGCGGCGCAGCTGCACATCTTCCGGGACATCAACTGTGTTCGCTGAAACAACAGAGTGCTCGTTCTGAAAGTCCGCGCCAGTAGTCACATTCTCGACTGCGTTGTGTCTTCCGTTCTTGCTGCCTTTCTGGTTGTGGCTATTCTGTTGAATCTCCTCTTGGGTCCTGGGTCCGCTCTCGATGTCGCTCGTCGTGACGGGTGTGAGGGGCCTGTGCGGTTCAAGGAATTCTGCTTCTTTCATAGCAGTGTCCAAAATCCACTGGATCTGTGCTTTACAAGATGTGACGTTTCTTTCAAGCTGTTTTGTGCCGAGTTCGAGCTCCTTTCTTCGCTGCGAAATTTTAAGCAGTCGAGATTCTTGTTGTTGCACCATTTCTCGGAGCTCGTTGATTGTTTCTTGATTTTCGGCCCCTTCAATCGATTCTTTGATTTGCTCTATCGAGGTCTCAAAACTCCGAGCTTCTCTGCGCGCATAATCCAGGGGTCCTTGCTTTGCTGACAAATGATGACTATCCTCATAAAGATTGCGAAGTTCTGCGATTAGTGTATCGGTGACCAGCAACGCCACACAGTCTTTTGAACCGTCATTGGCTATGACGAAGCGAGCTGGGCCTTCAGTGAATTGTGGTTGCTGCTTAAGTCCTTGTGCGATGGATTCCCTTGATGGTGAGATGTTGCCCTGGGTATCATCGCCTCCCAGGTCTCCTGGAGTGCTTTCGCTTCTTTGGCTGGCTGGGCAGTGTTGCAATATATCATTAGTTGGTGGATGTTTTGTAGCATCTGACAAGCCGGCCTCAATATCGCCGGAGGTCTTTGGTGGTAGCTTTGTTTTGAAAGACTGCAGTAGACCGACAGCCTTATCAAGGACAAAATTTCTTACGCGAGTTTCCATACCTGCGAATTTGAATATGTTTTGATGACAGTTGCGATGATACTTGCTAGGCATGAACCTTTGGTGGTAACGGGGAAAGATCGGGTTCTGGCTTGCAGCAGAAGGTCTGTTTTGGTAAGAGAGACTTTCTGGAGGAGATTACGCCCTAAAGCTTGATGCTTGATGCTTGTCATTGACTGCTTGCATTTCATTGTGCAGGGTAAACAAAGCCCAAAAGTTTTGAGCATCCGCTAACGATTGCAGCCTGAGAGCATTGTCTGATCACCTTGGGCCTTCTTTATTGAGCTTGGCTATTGCTCAAAGCCAGCCTTTGTTTCGATCGTTGCAACAAGGAGCAGAAATAGCACGGCTGTCATTCCATTCTCTTCTGGAGACACGTAACCATGGTGGAGGTAGATTTCTTTGTCTTCATGCTCTATCTTTGCGAGAGTAAGATGCTCACCACGTCTTATCTTTGTCACTCGAGCACTTGACCTTGTCCGATCTCTTACACAAAGCACACCGGCTGTGTAACTCTACTCCAACACAGTATTGCCATAATCATCCACGCTCTCAAAAGCAATCTTAAACGTCCGAAGTTTTGACCCCACAACCATTCAAAACTCTACCTCAACAACATTAAGCGGCACAAATTGTTGCCCTCATCATCCTTTGACTCCAAGCAGAATGGGTCGAAGCGGTCCAAGCCGTGTTGGAACAAGCAATACGGGAAGGGGGGCCTCGCTATGCACCAAGCACTACAGAAAATAGAGGATTCGCTTCTCACATGCCAAGCATTTTAGAAACAAACCCTCAAAACACTTCTACCTCTCGTATCTCGAGCGGCAAGTTCGAGGTTCTGGACGGACTTCTTGAAGACAAAGCCGCCTGGAAGACTAAGAATGACAGCAAAGGGGACGCACCGCAAGTCGAAAGAGAAAGTGAGGACGGTCTCACCAAATCCATGGCAAGCCTTGCCATGAGCACTGCTTCGAAGGCAGACTCAACGGTTCCAGAGTGGAGGCGAGAAGGTTCAAGACCAGAAAAGTACATTTCTAACCCTGCTGGCAGCAAGGCACAAAGCGGATTGATGCGAAAACCAGACCTTTTCGGCCGCACCTTGGTCCCTACGGCCAGCAGAGTATCTTGCACATTCACACGAACCTGGGATCAGCCTCGAATGGCCGAAGCAGGGTTTCTCAACTACTATCCATTCCATAAACATGAGTTCGCACTGGGAACCATCATCCGAGGAGTCATTCATGAACAGGACATCATGAACACACCCAGGCCCGCGCCGTCCAACGCTCCGACCGCCATCACCAACGCCGGCAAAGAACACGTCACGCACGGAGACTTTGGCCCAGTCTACTCTGAAAACCGCATCCTGATCGTCGTAAACAACCGGCCCGGGGACCATTACCTCGCCGTCCCCGTGTACTCGCACAAAGGCAACGGTCTTGCCAAGAAGCTCCACAGCGACGAATACGTCTCGGTCGCGGATCACCGCTACCTCGCGAACTGCCAGCAGCAGTCTGCCCACGCTCCTCTCGTGACGGAGTTTCTGAAGGACGGTGTGGAAGAACTGCTGCCCGTGAGCGCGGCGTACGCTTCGTACCCTGTTTCGCGCAAATACGGTTTGCCCGTGGCCCATCAGGGTAGACTGGATGACGAAAGTACGAAGCGCCTGGTTGCGATGTATCTCAAGTGGGGGAACCTTATGAAAATGAAGATTAACGTTCGCCCAACGGAGTGGATAAAGGTGAGCCGCACCTGTGAAACGGATGCTGACAGGGACCCAGAAATCGATCAAATACAGGGCTTGATGGTGATTTTTTGTGGGACCTCGTAGTAGTGGAAGGCAAGTACTCTTTCTTTCCATCGCTTGACGCATGAAAGTCTGTTTATTGGTATCTCTGTTCATAGAAGCTTCTCGTATTGCTGTCATTTTCGTAGCATGTAATTACAATTGATCCGCGGTCTACTCGACAGGTACTGTTCTCCTATCAATAAAAGACTGCCCCAGACAGAGTGCTACGAGGCTCAGAAACTTCGCTCTTTGACGCCACGTTGGTCGAAAATTCCAGGATTCGTACCGCTTTAACCGTCACACTTTCTGATCTTTTGCCTGAATCATCAACAAGGCTCTGAGCTTAGTCAGTGGCCCGATCAGACAAGACGACAGAATGCTATTTCGCTATTTGAGAATGTCTGCGCCATCAGTCACATACTGGGCTGTGCTGTGTTCTTGGTACCGATTGGTTCCTTGCTCGATGGGTGCATTTGAAGGCCAGTTGTACGACCTAAGTATTGACGGCTTTCAAGTATTTATATAAGTTCATCACCATCATCCCAACTCTGACAGCTATAACCCCCGAATGAATGTCGCCGCTCTACTTCATTCACCGGCCACATACGCATAGCCTCCGGCCATGCATCCCAGGCCTCCGGAGAAGCGTCAGGCTGGGGCTGAGCGCAGAGTTGCTGCCACCGGTCGAGGTTTTTTCGGTTAAAGCCATAATCGATCGCACTCGCACTGTCTTGTATCTCAGCTTCCGGGACCTCCCAGTCACCATCTTCGCTGCCTCTCGCAGTGTCTGGTCCATCTTGTCCTTCGTCCCACTCGCCGTCATCAGTGTACCCTGGATTATCATGGCTGTTTGGATCTTGGAGCATATCAGCATCGAGGACGTTTGCCAGCCAGTCATGGACAAATCCCCAATCTCTTGTGGCTATGTAGGATGCCATGTGGTCATCTGGCAGACTTTCCTCATAGTGGCCGGACGGCTGTCCGTACTGGGAGTCGATGGCGCCAACGGCTTTGGCGTAAGCTTCTGCCTGATCAAAGGCTTCCTCGGCATTGATCAAGGCTCGCGTGATCTTTGATCCGTATTCCACACCGCGACGATCAAAATCACTTCTAGAATAGTTGCAAACACCGTCTTTCAGTCCCTGTTGGAATTTGGCCAAATTGTCCTCGTATGCGCATCGTCGGTTATCGAATTTAGCCTGGACGACATCCAATGTCCGCGATCTCTTGCCTAGTTCTTCGAGAGCTGCTCGGCGGACCAGCTCTGCTTCACCGAGTGGAGATTTAACATCGTTCTCAGAGTCTGGAGCAATCGGGCCTTGTGGTGGAGATTTTGTGTTTCCGATATCGCTTTCGTCCTCGCCGAGCAATTCTGGGGAGGGCGTCCTATGCGGCTTGAGAAGATTCGCTTCTCTCATAGCCGTCTCCAAGACCCATTGTGTATGATCTCTCGAAAGGTTAACACTTCTTTGAATGCGACGATACTCCTCCTCTAATTTGTCTCTTCGCTGACAGGCCTTAAGTAGCTTGGGATGTTGTTGCTCAATAAAGTTTTCGAGCTCGTCAATTCTCTCTTGACTTTTTGCTTTCTCCAAGGATTCTTTTGCACTTTCAAGAGATAGGTGAATTTCTCGGGCGTCGATTTTCGCATGTTCAAGAGGTCCAGACTTGATCTCAAGCTGCAGCTTATCCTCGAAGAAATCACCGAGCTTCGCCATCAGACTTTTGGTGACAAGCAACGCCATGCAATTCTCCGAACCATCATTAGCTGTTATGAATCGTGCAGGTCCTTTAGTCATCTTCGGCTGTGGTGCTTGCTCCTGCTCGAAATGATGGCCGTTGGATCCTCCGAAAGCGCCCACAACACGGAAATTGTCGAGCTCTGGAGTGTCCTTGACTGGGCCATCAACTAAGGACTGCCGCGACAAGTCCAACGGGCCACTTTCAATGTCAGCCGTGGTCTCTGGCCGTAGTCTTTGCTTGAAGACTTGCAGTAAGCCATATGCCTTGTTGATTCTTGCATGAACAAAATCTCGCACACGTTCCATGTCTGCAAAGTTGAGGGTAGTATGCAGATTCAAAGGTGGTGTATTGGAGGGTGCGTTAATGCTGTCTCCACGTGGGATTCTTACCAACTGAAAAAGCGCAATTTGTGTGGATTGCAGCAGAAGTGTTATTATGGTAGGGAAAAGAGATTCTACTGGCTTCTAGATGAACCCCATGCTCTGCTTTGTTCTAGTTAGATTGAATGCTCCTCATTGTGCAAAAGCTCCCAGACTATATTTTTCTAGCTTTGTTGGGCGCGCTTTGTGTTCTGCGGCCATTGTTTTGGCAGTACCTTGATTACGAGATCGCGAAAGCCTAGCACGACTGTTATCTCTGTGTGTAACATACGGTCGTATAGGGGTACGACAATTCCATTGTCTTCCCACAGCCGCGTCTTTTTTCTGGTTGGTGATGCCGCATCTTTGTCTCTCGAATGAATGGCGTTGTGCGATTTCAAACAGATGAAGACCAAACCCAAGCTTCGATATGTCTTTGCTTACTTTGCTTTAAATTCTTTCACCCACCTCCTATTTGAATTCGTTCACCATTACAATCTTCAGCGTCTTGACTTAATCTGACAACAAGTCAAAGCCTTCTCATTGAAAACCAAGCCAATACCCACCAGCAAGATGTCCCAAAACAACACAGGCCGCTATCCAAACAGCAAGATACGGAGAAACAACCCAGTTGCAATTAAGTCTAGCATTGTGGTAGGGACTACCAGTAATGTCGGAAAACCTCCTATCAATGTGGGAATGACGCGGCATGGACGCCCTCAGCCCAGTAACGTGGGTAGGAAGGTCTGTGTGCCCAGTAACTTGGGGACAATCAACGAAACGAGTACAGACTTCCGTTCTACGCCTCCCAAATCAGGCGGTTTGGATGAGGGCCCAGACGAGGAATATTGGGGTGACAAATGCACCAGCTCCTCAAGTGCACCCCAATCTGGACTACACGATCAACAAGACTTGGCCAACTCGATGAAAAGGCTCGCCATTAACTCGGCTCCAAAAGCAGAGCCATCTGAGAGTAGATGGAAGGGTCCTCGGCCCTCAAGCGTTGGAAGTTATTGGACGGAAAGAACTCAACGCGCTAAAGTTCCGCCTGCCATGAAAATCGCGGACAACCGTGACTATCACACATTTCCTAAATATGAATTCAAGATAGGGATGATCTTTCGCGCCCCTATCCATGAGGAGGATTACATGGGGGCTACTGCAGCTGCGTGTTCGGCTCCTTCCCAACTTTCCATTGCTGCTTCAGATATGTCCACCGCAAGCGGTTTTGCGAAGAATCACCAGCAGATGACGGACTTCGGAGCGGTCTATTCCGAGAACAGATTCATGGTCGTTGTTGTCTTGGGGACTGATACTTACATAGCGCTGCCTTTCTACACACACGCTGGAACCGGTACCGCATACAAGCAAGCAAAAGACGAATACGTATCCGTCCAAGACCACCGGGAGCCCGAAAAATGCATTCGACAGGGTAGAGTCGATGTGGTACGTACCCTTGTGCTGAAAGAGCATGTCAAAACCTTGCACGAGTTCACTACAGCTCATCTAGGAAATCCAGTCTCCCGAAAGTACAGGTTACCTATTGCGCACCAAGGCAGGTTGACCGACGAAGATACCGAGAGCTTGGTGTCGTTGTTCAAAACATGGATCATGGAGCATTGAGGCTGGGCCTCCTTGCAAGTTGCAAAACGGTAGGGTTGATAGTGTGGAGGATTGCTGACGAAAATGAGACTGGGTACCGTACTTGATCTGACAGTAGTGTTTCCCTAGGATCTCGTTGTAATATTGTTTAGCGGAACCCAGAGCAAGATCCTTAGACAAGGTAGATATAGCCAGTGGGCAATCAGTGGCGTTTTCCTTCCAGGAGCTGAGAAAGTATTTAAATAGACAGTGTCCCCTGTACTGTGTATTCCTTAAACCAAAATGTTTAATCAGATCTACACTCACCACATATGGGCCCCAGCGAGCCCCAGAAGAGACGCTTAGAGACACCGAGTATACTTAACCCTAGGGTAAGTACCTGTATACTCGGAGTCCTCTTTCAATAGACCATTTTCTCCAATCCTTCATCAGTCTAAAATCTCACAGCTGAGCGCACAGCAACATCGGTGAATGCAAGCTGTAGAGGCCACTCGACAGTATATTCAGGGATCTGAAATCACTGGTATGCGTACAGTTGGGCCGTGTTCATATGAACAAGAGGACTGGCAGGGTTGGACCCTCTTAGGAGCCAGGTAGGGGAAGGTAAGCCTTAGGCTTACCGAGCGCCGGCTTGAAAATGTCGACTACATGACATTGAAGCTAGTAGGTAATCTTGTTACCGCTAGTAATAAAAACGTAAAGTTAGCTCCGTAAAGCTTCTGTACTCCTCTTTTTGCCCACCCATCTCAATTGTCTCCAGAAACACTCAAAGCCATTGACACCCTCTATCTGACCGGACATGCGTATTACGATATAAAAGGATGTGTGAACACTTGTCCATCTCGTGTCAGTGTGACTTCAATTGGAGTGAGGGAAAGTTATGGGCATCAACTTGATGCTGATATCTAATTCCACCAAAGAGTACCTTCGTTGTCAGCAGCAACCCTTTTTCCTTCTTATCCTCTTGCGATAGGTGCTCGTACGGGCGCCATATTGAGGGGCGTTCCTACCCTCGATGGGCGGTTATCGCGTGTCGCAAGCATTCCAGCATGCGAAGACTGAGAAATATCTGTCCGCTCTTGCATCAGAATCATAGGTACAAGTACCCGCCCCCCATAGCATTTGCTTTCTCATCCTAGCTGAGCGTCTATCATCCGCGCACCTAAATGTCCTCAATGTCAAAAAGTCGTACTTTTTCAGCATATCTTTTTCTCACAGTCCTTGCGAGATTTACGTTCTCACTGCCTGTCGTGCCGGTGAATTCGCCCTCTCTTTCGCTCATCCAAGATTCGCTCGCTCTTAAGCTATCACAAGCTACGAAATTATCACTGCCAACGTAATCAGCCACGTTCCCAACCAGGCATAGTCGCTAACGTTGAGGATCATAGCTCTGATATATTCACCATCCCCAAGACAGTCCTGACTCTAAAGTTCCATGAATTCGGGCCCCTCTTGGACCCTACGGACTTGAAATCCTTCTTCGTGGAAGCGAGCAACGACATCCAACATCAGATTGACCAAAGTAGCGTGAATGCGGCGTTTTCCGAGCGATGGTACAATTACACATCAGATGATGGATTAGTGCTGGAACTATGGAGTAGGTCCGTCTCCCTGGAAGGGTGTGTGAGCTTGGGAGAGCTGCGTAATGTTATCAATGGGCTATCGCTGTACATGATCCAAAGACGATCCCGAGCGGTTCGATTCCAGGTAATTCAAAATCTGGGTGCTACCAAAGCCATCATCATGAATAAGGGGTCTATCAGACAAGACATTGCCTCGTCGACTATCGAATCTAAGCGAGAAATTACGCGGCCACCTTTGGTGCAATACTCTTCTATGTCATCAGCCACTGGTGTCACAAACGGGAGTACCCTGAGCTTGCCGACGGCAGACGAATTTCCTATCCCCCACACTGACTACACACTGCGCCTCGGGAATTTGGGCTCCTATTTGCATCTCTGGGATTTGGAAACCCTTCTCGTCGCCGTCAGCGCTGCCATCAAAGAAGAGATCACCGCCCATGGCAGGAATGCTCGTTTACCCTCAACAGAGTACTCGAAGAGCTTAGGAGACTTGCAGTTGTGGATACAGAGAATGCCATGGGCTACGGTCAATCTGGCTTGGGCTGAGCTGGCAATCATTGCTGAGGGGCTCTGGCTTTACATTGTCAATGAAGGGCACGACCGGGAAGCTTTTATCGATGTCATCAATCATGTCACGGGCAGACAAGTAGCCTTGGGTTGGATTGGGAAGCCACCCAGGCCTCTAGAGCATTCTTCGTCGTCTGGAGCTGTAAGGAGAGACCTCCATGCGCTTGCTTCTCGGTAGATGTCGTGAATTTGCGTTCAATAGCATAACAGTACGACATGAAATAAGACAAAAGGTTTGAAGCAACTGAAAATCATACGAATTACAATAAACTTTGCGCACTCCCATCCCTAAATTGAAAACCCCCGCTGACTGGGCACTTACCAGCGCGACGATACGTCGATATCTAGAGCAGCTGTCACCGTCAGTATTGGTAGGAGGTCTTGAAACCTACCGTCCTGTAGACTGCCCTACTCAGGCTTCATTCCCAGCATGTATTGGCCAAAGAGTTTCACAAGAACGTTCTTTGAGTCTTCTCGCAGACGCCCTTGAGGCGCGACTGGCAAAGTGTACTTGCGCGAGACTGGATAGGCAATGTGAGCCACACTCTTTGGGAGTAAATGCTTACAATCGGGCTTCAGGTACTCGGTATGCAGCAGAAACCCAGCCTCCTGAAGAGACCTTGGTTCGCGGTAATCCTCGATGGATGCGTACTCCCATTTATTATCTTTGTGAGCGAGACCGTTGCCTCCGTGAGTGTAAAGAGGAATGGCGAGATAGTGGTCGTAAAACAAGGCTACGACAATCATGAAACGCATTTCTGTATAGATTGGATCGTTCCAATTTGAAAAGGTGATGTGCCGCCTTTTGTTGGGTGTAGTCCGTGGTGTTGACATTCCGGAGTGAGAGTATCTTCCTTGTTCATCGGCGGTTTCCGACGCTTCCACTGACAGGGGCCGAGGTGTCCACTTGAAGTCTTCTTCATGAATGGGAGCCTTTATGATCGTTCCAAGATTGAACTCTTCCTTAGGAAACCGGCAACATATAGTCGCACTGATATCCTTCATACGCGGAAGCGGATAGTTTCGAATTTCCAGTATCTCGAAATCGGCTCTGGACCGGCTTTTTTTGTCAATAGGGTTATTGGGATTGTACGTACGTGACTGGTAACTACCGATAGAATCCCTTGAGATGGCACTCGCAGTAGACGACCTCAGCCTCGCTATGGCGCGATTTTGGATTACATGAAGAGCAGCATCTTCTCGAGGGTAGTCCCGGTCGCTGTCGCAATGCTGCCTTTTGTTTGGCGAGTATTCATCACGTGATGAGTAATGATGGCGCAGTGAAAAACGGTCGCGTGTTGGTGACCAATGGTCGATCGAGTGGCTATGCACGGTGGACCTGCCATCCGTGCGAGTGGACATTTGCGTGAACGTAGCCGTCGAAGTCATGTTCGAGAAAAAGTGGATTTCACAGCAGTCAATGCCGTTTGTGAGTGGTAAGGCGTGGTTTTAGTTCACTAATACTGTCAAGTTGAACGTGGAGAAAATGGAGATGATTCTTGATAGTTGCAACGAAGCGTGGACCACCTATGTGACAGAATATGGTTTTCGTTCTTTCATAATTGTACAATACTAGCTGTCCGTAGGACAAGGGATAGTCTTTCATGACAATCACGTGCTAATAGCGGACAAGCAGTGGGATCAGTCTAGCCCTCAATTCTTTGTTTACAGAACAAACCTCAAAGCAATGTTGTTCAACTCTGATCACAAGTACGCAACAAGCAACTATTGAGAACAAGTCCGAGGTTAGCATCTTATAAAAGAAGGTGCGGTGGCTCCTATGACCAGGAGCATCTTTACCTAATGCAAGCGAAGATTGACTAAAAAAGAAGGAACAGCAGAGCAACAAAGCGACCAGCGGTCCCCTATTTCTCCAGAGCTATCCTAACCGGATGCGACCATAAAGGAATCGAAAAACAGCACGACCAGTTGAACCCCTTCATCAAGGTTTCCCCCCAACCACAAACGTTATATACATCTCCAGATTTACGACAACTGCAGCCTGTCGACGCAAGCTAAACTGGCCCTCTTTGAGCACCGTCACGGAGTGTCGCACAAGCCAGCACTCAAACCTGGTCTTTCCATTACTACGATTTTTGCATAGGAGGCTTTGAGATGTCTCATCAAGATTCCAACCCTTCGAGTCAGAGTCTCCAGCGTTCGGGCGCAAGTAAATCTGCTCCCTACAGAGACGACAAATTCGATACTTCGCGGAATATGAATGGCAAACGCTCACAAGGCGACCTTCGGGAGGACCAAGTGGAGGCTCCACGGAAACGTGCTCGCCTAGACGGTGACCATCACAGTGAGCGAGTAGAGTCCCAGCAGCCATCAAACCCTATGACGAAGATTTTGAACCCAACCCAGGAGCAAGAGTTCGTTGATGGACCAGGTCATATCGTCTTCACTGATGAGCGAGGCAAACGCTGCCCGGCAATCTGTTTCAATAAAGCATTGCTCAACACCTTCACGCGCATTGCCGTCGTTAGCCGTGAGGTACAAGAAAGAGATGGAGCAATACAGAAGGCACAACTCGAGCTCGAGCAGATCAGGTCTTCAAATCAATCGGCTGGGATAGAGAAAGCAAAGAGAACAGTGGAAGAGGCCATTAAAACGCAGGAACACATCGAAGCGGGAATACCGGAGCTGGTCGAAGCTCGGCGACGATGTGATAGTCTTGCGCAGGAGAACAAATGGTCAAAGCTAATACTCGAGAACAGCAGAGAGGTTGCTCAGTTCGTGATTGAGCAAATTCTCAACAGTGAGAACCTATTGAATATTCCAACAACGTCCAAACCACAAGAGCCGGCTGAAGTTAATAAAGACGACCCAGCAGAACCTGCGCCGGTTCCTCAGGAGACAGTGCATGATACTCAAAGGTCCAACGTATCTGACAGCAGTCTGGCCTCGTACACCACAAGACTGCAATCACTCGCCAACATCGAGGAACAAATGACACCTCGCCAACTAGCTCTTCGACACTTCAGATTCGCGGCGGACGAATTGGACTACCGCAAAGGAAAACTCACTTTCATGCAGGAAGAGTATGCGCAAGCAGAAGCTGCAAACAGAAGGCATCACCACGAACAATACCCTGACAGGCCTGCGAGTACCACCCAAACCGACATCGACTTACAGGTCCTCCAGGAGAAACAAAAAGCTACCAGGATGGTGATTGTGGCCGAAGAAGCGTACGATCGCACAGAGCAACACGCGGAGGCCCTCGGTCTAGGGGACATCTTGGCTGATCCACATGCTTTCTATTGGGGCGAAAATCACAACGAGTTTCCGCTGCGTATTACGAGAAGCCCGTCGGTGTTCCCTGTTGATCGGTCGCGGATCGAGGCTTGGATGGCATCAATTCCAGATTCTGCTGTGGTGGATCCTCAAAGGCAGGAGGACGCTGAGCTAGCCGGGGGCGATGACTGGGAAGCAAAGTCGGTCGAAATGTTCGAGAGTGTCAGCGTCGTTGCTTGCGACATGTATCGCAAGAAGATCGATAAGTGGCAGGAGCTTTCTGGCCGTTTTAGAGAAGGCGAGGGGGAGGGACGGTCGCCAGGGAATGTGCGCCGGAATCCTAGGAGAAGTTGTCGTGGTAGGCAGTCTCCCAGTGGAAGTCCTCGCACTAGGTCTTGAGATGGGCTAGAAGTCCAGGAGGATACGCAGATTATCTCCAATACGTAGAACATATAGGCTGCGATCAAAAACAGCGCACTGCTTACCTTCTCTACTTTGTCCCGTACCGTGGTGTGGATCTTCAAGGAAGGATTGCAACGATTTTGGAGACAGTGAACGTTTCGCTCGAGCGACTAGTACATTTTGATTCATTGCTATAGAAAAGATGACAGATATATGGCTTATTTATATATGAAGAGACGCAGCAGAAAATTCCCAAGAGTATTGACGTTGACTCACAGAGTATTACAAAGCATCAGGACTCATCTCCCATTGCCACAGAGGTCCATAGCAAATCCCTTTACTAGAATCAGTGTCCCGTACCATGGTGTGGATCTTCAAGGAAGGATTGCAACGATTTTGGAGACAGTGAACGTTTCGGTCGAGCGACTAGTACATTTTGATTCATTGCTATGGAAAAGATGACAGATATATGGCTTATTTATATATGAAGAGACGCAGCAGAAAATTCCCAAGAGTATTGACGTTGACTCACAGAGTATTACAAAGCATCAGGACTCATCTCCCATTGCCACAGAGGTCCATAGCAAATCCCTTTACTAGAATCAGTATGAGATTTACGTCTGTGTCATCGTCAGCGCTCGCTCCAAGTCTACAGTTTTTCCCGTCCAAGAAGTCTTTTGCTTGCTACTTTTCTCCACCAAGGTGCTCGAGAAAAAGAGTTCTCACTCGCTTTGCGCTTGCTTGGTCTAACCTACCTTGATAGGCCACGGGAACGGAGTATCGGATTGGAATCGCATAAGGAAGCCAAGCAGCGCTTACCGGGTTCAAGATCTTGGCCTCCGGGGCCATGATGGTTGTGCGTAGTGGCAGATGCTCCGATTGTTGCCGGCAACTGTCGGGGTTTCGATGATCCTGGACGGATACCCAGTCCTCCTTTTCAGCTATGTTTGCCAGACCCTTCTTTTCGTGCGTGTACAAGGGGATAGCATAGTAGGTCATCTTGCACAAGCTCACGACAATGAAATATCTATCCTCGGAATAGATTGGTCCGAAGTCTCCGGTGGACCGGTGTTCTCTGGAGCCTCTGGCGCCTTTGCCGACTAATGTCGAGGTTTGCGAAGCTTGCGAACCTGGCGCAAAGGCTTGCACGGCTGGTCCCATGTAGTCGGGCTCGTGGACGTTTCTTCGAACAATAGTTCCTATTTTGAACTCCGATTTGAGGAATGGGGCATACTCACGGAATCCTGCTTGCTCCATAGGAGGCTGGTTCGGTGTTCGCTTGTATGAAATCGAGTACTCGCTGGAGGCAGGCTTAAGATAGGACCGATCGGATCTTGGAAGGCACTTGCTCACCTTTGAGTTGGTGCTTGACGTGGAGTTCGGTCGTTCCCAATTCAAACATCTTCCAATAATCACGGATCCGGACTTCTGAGTAGAATCAACCGAGAGCTTTGTCATGGATTCCACAACACCTTGCGGGTCTACAGATTTTGGCTTCGAATTTACCGTCGCGCCTTCGGTGACCGTCTGCTCGGCATGACATGTGGCTTGCGATGTGGTCGCGGAGTCATCGTCAAAGAAGGATTTCTTGGGAATACGAGTATCTGCAACCACGGACTTTTGCGTCCTAGTATGGGCATGTGAATATGGGCCAAGGTTGCTGGGTGTGCTTGGGAGGTGATTTCCGGCGTTACTAGCCAAGGATGCTTTGTTGTAATTCTTGTTTTGGAACGCACTGGGTGGGGGATTGCCTGCAGGTCTCCCAGCTCTGCTTGGTTTGTAAGGAGGCGGCTCACCTCGAAGGCTTGAAGCAAAGCTAGGTGTTCCAGGCTTTTGGAAACCCGGTGACATCTTGCTTGTAGGTAAAGGATCGACTGTTCTGCTATCGAGCTGAAGTGGGTGGTGTGAAAACGATCTTGCTGCTAAGTGGGAAGGCGAATAGTAAATGAAAGAGGACGTTGACCAGAGCAGAGCTAGGTATTAGCCAGAGGCTGCGCTTGCTGAGCACAGAACAATGCCATACGAGCTGGCTTCAAAGAAGAGCTTCTTCACACATATTGAACCAACAAAGAGAGAACGAAGTAGAGCAATACAATTCTAGTGCCATTCAGAGAACAAAGACCTAGCGACCTTTGTACGCAGCCTGTAGAGCTTATTGGTCTGCCCGGGTGATAAGAAAACACTCCTTTGATAAAGGGCCGTGCTTGACAAAGCCAGGCTATAGAGAGTACCAAGGGTGTGTATGACAAAGCTGTCAAAGTACCTTCAAGATCTATCTGCTTTGTTCCTTTCAAAAAAAAGTACAGTAGGAGATAAACTTTTTCTCCAAGAAACAAGACTTGCAATCTCATTCAACAGACCCACCCTCCGATCACGAAATCAAAAACTCATGCGCAATCTGTATTGCCGCATCTGTCATCACACTAGCATCACCTTTGGCATCATGGAAAACCACGTACATAGCTTTTTAACCAAATTTAGGCCTGCATTTGGTCTGTTGCGGAATTTTAGGGGCAAGCTACCAGCAAAGACCCCAGGGGACATCGAGAGTGGCCGGCCAGATCTCATACAATCTCAATCACAAGACGACACGGCCGACGCGACTAAGAATGCGTCGCAGCTCCAAGATACAGGAAGCCTGAGAGCTAAGCAGGAAGACTCTCTCGACTCCTCAGCCTCAAACACAAATTCAGGCGATGATCACGAAAACCATCCACAACCGCAATTCACAGAAGGCCCTTCTCGGTTTGTCTTAGCCAAAGACGGCTCAAACGACTGCGTAGCGCTGCTTGTGAACGAAAGGTTTCTCGCCAAACTACGTGACCTTTTTCAAGAGAACCGGGATATAAGTGCTCTAGACGGACCACTTTATCATGCGAAGATGGATACGACCAGCATCGAGAACTCGATACAAAACGCGCAAGAATCCCTGAAGATAGCAGAGAGTGAAGAACAAGCAGAGAAGTATAAGAAATCTATAGAGCAACAGGCTTCTGAGCTACTTAACATCCGTCATTGGAAAGATAAGCTCGAGAAGGAGCAGAGCCTAATCAAAGGCAACCTTGAGTTATCCCGAAGCCATACTCAATGGGTCTTGGAAACGGCTATGAAAGAAGCTGATCTTCTGGGACCAGAGAAGCCATTGCCGGCTATCTTGCTTCGCGATAGAGAAACCGAATACACCGAAGAAGAGGTCGAGGTTCCCAATTATGCGATGCCTGCACAGAGTCCGGCAGTGTCAGTTGCATCAGATCACGAAGAAGTCGAGTTAAGCGAAGAAGAAAATCAGCGCCACGCAGCCTATGATGACTTCATAGACCGTTCGCAGCTCTTAGACACAGTTCAGGCCGATTTCGACGACCAGCAAAACAATTACCGGGAGAATTTGGCTATGTTTCAGCAAAAAGCAGAAGCGGGGGTTAGCAAAATGTCTCGAAGTGACTTCGATCGTCGGAGCGTTCAGTACGGACAGCAACTCACACGAGCCTTGATCGATGCAGAGGAGGAATTCGAGGAAGCAAGAGAGCATGCTCAAGCATTAGGCGCAATAGGTTCCGATCACGGGCAAGAGTTTTACTATGGAGCCGAATATGAGGAGAGCTGGCCGGAGAACAAGATCGCCGACTATAACTCCTCCCACGACTGGGGCTTCATCCATGACTGGATGGACAACATCCCCAACGCCACCAGTCAATCAGACACTGAATCGGTGGAGATAGACGAATGGGACGCAGAAGAGGTCGACGTGAATGACAGTATCAGCGTGATAGACCGCGAAGACTACCGTCAGGACATCGAACGGTACCGAAGAATCTGCGCTCGTCTGGAGGATCCCTGTCCAGCAGTACGGTGGTTGGGACAGCCCGATGCCCAACCTTTGGAGCGAAGGTATTCGTTTTGGATGTAGTGTCGCTGTTTGCGGTATGAGTATATAAGTTAAGTAATCAAAAGCTTTGTGCAGGCATGCCGCCAAAAAGAAATTACAGTTGAAGCTGTATGGGTCCCCAAAAGATCGAGACTCATGACTGCGAGGAGCAGATTTTTCCATTGTCGAAAGCTCTGTCTGAGCTGGGATTCATTTCAATGACAAGTAAAAAACATTGGGCTTGATATTCACGAGCAGGCTTGTTCCCAATTTGCCCGCTATGTCTATCTCTGCGGAAATCTGAATGCTCATCGTCGTGAAACAGATAAAATACGAGTCGTACTAAACAAGCGTGTAAATTCGATACCCAAGGTGCCTCAGCTTCCGCAAGCATCGCGGCATATTTCGACAAACACCACTCAACCCTTCCACCCTCCTATACCCGTCTAGGTACATCCACTCGCCCACCATGTCTGCAGCATACGACCGCGAGCAGTACGTCCACCCACACCCTGCCCTCCCCGTCCCCTCCTCCCCCCCCCGCCGCCACCCCACACTCTCTAACCCCAACCCACAGACAAAACAACACCCGCCTCTCCGAACTCTCCTCCAAAGTCTCCGCCCTCCGCGGCGTCACGGTCGACATCTACGACAATGCGCGAGACCAACACGTCATCGACAACAGCGTACGTTCCCGCTCCACTCCACCTGCCTGGTGCACCGATCGTCTCGCTTTGCTAACGATTTCGGCCCCGCCCCACGCAACAGTCCGAAGTCTTCTCCTCCATGACGAACTCGATCAAGGGCTCCGCCGGCCGTCTGGGCCGAATGGCGCAGCAGGGGAATAAAGTTGCGATATTGAAATTGGCGGGGATCATCGTCGGTGTGGTGGTTGCGCTGTGGTGGGGGTTGAGCTTTCTGTTCCGGTCGAGGAAGGCTTGAGGTGGTGGTCTCGTTGTCGTGGATTTCTGGGAGAGGGAAGGCTATGTGGACGAGGGGAGGGAGAAAATGCCGAGAAAGGGCTTTGAAGGGGCCGGAACAGAGACGGCAAACATGATACGCTGAGTGTGGCATGATTTCAATTCTGGGGATTCAGACGTGAGTTCGAAGTGTATGGCCATGTCTATATCTCTGAGAGAGCGCTAATGCCTTGAAGCTCTAGAAGCTGTCCCACGACAATAGTGTGGTCGAGCTAGAATCATACGCCGCCAAGGTATAATTTGGGATTCGAGAAGTATCGTTGGTGTACGTTGGTGTACAAGATCCCGCATACTATAGTTCAATATGTTTTTTGGCATAGCACAATTGGAGAACAGCTCAAAAGCACCTCGAATCGCTCCCGATACTACGCAAGCATGTCGCTGTCTAATCATAATGAACTCCCTCTACCGTACCCACTCGTGTACGTCCTCTAATGACCCCGAATGCTCGGTTTCCTTACTTAAATTCCAAACCTTCACTCCCAGACATTCGAGAACAAATCCTCACTAGCACCACCAAAACCCCCTCCACCAGCAGGCTTGTTTTGTACAGGTGGAGGATTGCTTGCAGCGGGAGTTGCAGGTGCAGCGCTGCTCCAGCCGCCGAAGTCTTCATCAGGCGCAACTTTTGGAGTAGGTCGCGAGGTGCTGCCAAAACCGCTGCCAAGCGCCGATGATTGGGCAAGCGAAGAAGCAGGCGTACCTCCCCATGCAGAGAAGTCAGTGGACATTGGGATCGATGGGTTTCGGGCAGGGGCAGCAGGTTGAGGCTTTGGAGCCGTTGTGGCGGCGGAAGGTTCAGGAGTGGCCCATGCGTCACTAGAGCCCCAGGCGTCGGTACTGTTCGAGAAGCTGGAAAATGCGTTAGTATTAGCTGGTGGTGCGGATGCTGCTGGGTTTGGGGTGGGTTGTGAAGGAGCAGCAGGCACAGAGAGGTTGAAGGCTGAATTGATATTTGCGGACGGTGGGGATGCTGGAACTGGAGCCTGGGCTTTCTTAGGAGCAACCCTGGGTGGGGTTGGTTCGGAAAAGTCGAAAAGATCATTTGAAGTACTCGTCGTGGCTGGCTTGGTTGATGCAGGGGCTGGAGGAGATGCAAAGCTGAAGTCGCCGAAATCATTCGAAGCACTTGGGGTCAGATTAGCTTGGGGTAACTGCGGAGGTTTCGATGCGTTTGCTGGTTTTGAAGCTAGCTTCGGACCTGTGTCAAAGAAGCCTCCACCGCTCAGAGGTGGAGATGTGACTTGCGGCGCTGCGACAGATGATCGCTGAGTGGCTGCGTTGTTGAAGCTTGCGAAAGGGTCGGATTTGGGTTGCTGCTGGGGCTTCGGTGCTGGTGTTGATGTTGGAGGGTTGAAATTCAACCCGCTAAAGGCATCATCTAGGCCACCAAAGCTAGACTGTTGTTGAGCTGCTGGTGATTGCATGCCTCCGAACGACGGCTGCCTTTGGGGCTGTGGCGGAGGCTGAGTTTTGGGAACTGAAGCATACAACGAGAGAATTGATTGCTTGAGATCCGGCCTTGAAGGAACTGCTGTGCCAGATGGTGTCGAAGCTGAGCTTGATGGTCTGCCAGATGTGGCGGATGGTGGACCACCAAAGAAGTCAAGACCAAGCAATGAGTCTGCAGCTTTCGCTTGCTTGCTTGGAGCGGAGGCCTTTGGAGGTGCGGATCGACCAGGGATGTCTGTCGTATTCGGCCTGACAGGCGGCTCTGGTACATCGCCGAACAGATCAACAGGAGGGGCTGCTTTTGGCGCAGGAACAACCGGTTGACTGGACGTAGACGCAGCCCGCTGTGACGCTCCTCGTTCCAATTGAGCTTTCTCTTTTACAAGATTGAGTGGCTAGAATTGGGTTGTCAACGTCGACTTCTATCCGCAGGGTCCGAGTCTACCCACCACATCATCGTCTCCTTCTGCGTCCAGTGTCGCTGGGTCTGGCATTGGTCCATCCATCACCCATCGCTTAGACTCGTATTTCGTCCGTATGAAGTTCTCTATCTTTCTGATAGCCTTTCAGCAGTGCGTATAGTTCATTGCAATTGCAGACTTACCCATCAGAGGGCACGTGTCCAGCGGCCAATTTTGCCTCCCAGTACCTGTTCATGTCAGGTTTGGACTATGGCTCTTCCTAATTATGTGCGACTGACTTGTTCGCCCTTGAGTTTCCCCAACGCAGTACGCTCTGTAGCTGCTCGTCCGTCCAGGCATCCAGGTCCACAGACTTCACCCGGCTAATATGCGTGCCCATTCCCCGATGTATCCCAGAGCATCTTCAAATCGATTAATACCGATGCTGCATGTTCCCGAAACCTGAGACATACCGTATGCACACGAAGACTCCCAGATTCCAGCTCGCCCATCTTGGATCTGTGTGGAACGATCATGTCAGCTCCGTTCAGACCGTGGACTATGTGACAATGGCTCGCAGAGGTACTTGGCTTACGCTTGTTCCTTTTGCAATCTGCGCAGCTCTTGTTGCCTTCAAGCTTGAGTAGGGTCTTGATAGTCTGCTGGTTCTGGGCAGCTCGCTCCGCGGCCGGGTTCGGCGGCGCTCTTCTCGACATGGCTTTCGATGCTCAGTCAAATGAAGACTCAAGTATGGGTAAGAACTAGAAGCGAGTCGTGCTCCATTCACTTCAATGCTGACTTTGGAGGTTGCCTTGAATGAATTCGTTCATCGCACCGAGTCGGTAGGGCTGAAATTCAATGCCAAGATTACGCCTCTTAGCGCGCCTACCAGATAAACTGCAGCAAGAACGAAAAGGAAAGCTCAATGACTTCTCCATGAGTGCCTAGACTAACAGGCGGCATAGGTCCAGCGTAATCTATTAGGCTCTTCGCAGCCACCCAACAACTTCTGGGTTGTATCTACATGTTTGGACAAGGTCTCTCCGAAGCGAAGAGATCAATGAACCTGCTGTGCAGCGAACTGCTGGCACTGAAAGCCGCACTCGAACATGTTCAGCTAGGTAGACTCCCGGCTCGAGTCTGCCATGGATCCCTCAAACTTCGCAACCCCTAAGTTCGAGAAGATGCTATTGTTCACCAAGGATTGAAAGTAATTCCAATTCCCAATAGATGAGAGCCTTCTCTTTTTCTATTCACGCATGTTTTTGCGAGTATCGACTAGAACAAATCGAGTCTTTCTCTCAAAGAATATTGAATGAACATAATTCCTTTGCAGGTGAAGCGACGAATCTTTTATGAAGAGTTCGTGAATAGGGTCACCTTTTCCTAGCACCGCGCCTAGACTAGAAGACTTCATTCAGACGCTTTGCCCCGTATATATAACCTTTGGTACATTCTCTTACCTCAAGTGAATACCCAGCATAGACATTTACAGCCACGGAACACTTGATCCTACCGCGATATTAAGACACTAGTTCAGGCTTGACAGTTCCTCGCGCTGAGTACGGTACGGACCAGGTCCTCTGTCTTCTTTCTATAGAATTTTCATGTACTGTTGCATTGCAATCCTCTTCTCCAATCTCTCCAATCTCTGTTGTACGACCAGGTCATCCGACCTCGCTCACAAGACTCTCCAATACCTCTGAAACGACCTTCAAGACCTCCTCGAGAGTCATGGCCCGTAAGATAGGCATGTCTTCTATTCCACCGCTCCATTGACCAATTCGACACTGTTGTCCGAGGGTCTAAATATCGAGATTCGAACTGCAGCATTTGAGAAATCCAATCACGACACCAGCGCCATTGACACATGTAGATAAGGGTAGTAGGAACGTCATGAATTTGATGTCGGCGTGTTGATTGTGCGTCATCTATCATGGCAAGGTTACTCCGACCGCTCATGTTCCTGGATAGTCTTCATTAAACCTACAGCTTTAAGAACGCCCTTACCTTGGAAAGAGAATGAAGCAAAAGTCATGCATGATGGGCGAAAGCTCTGATTAGAACTCTTGATGTTCTACAGTTCAGGCACGTTGCCAGAATCAAGTGACAATTTTCACGGACTTTTCCCTTGTCTCTTCTGCAAGGGGAATTTTTCCATGCGCGTTGAATCCTCTTGATTTGATATCGTTTGGTAGGAAGAGCCGATTTATTCTGGTCGATATCCACAGGTTCATGCGTAAATGAATAGAACTGGACCCTTCTCTTGATGTTTGGAGAGTTTGAAACTCCCTCTATGCTTGACTTCTACTACATTCTCTTACCATTCTAATGTTGAAGGCAATATCACTTTATCTCACTTGACACAACATCAAAAGCAGTATTGGAATAGGCTGTGCGTTGATTCTTTTGTGGCTCATTTTGTAAGTAAAGAAAACATTGGTTGCATTCCCCCTTTCAACCTTGTTCCTACCAATTGCTTGTCCTCTTCATCTTTTCATTCTGAATTACCTCGATCCAATATCTTTACGAGATCAGCATACAGTCATCAACTATGTTCAGCCTTGCTTACCCATCAGGATCCAACACAAATGCGATGTTCTTCATCCTGCCGTCCGTCAACTTCTTTTTCCAGTTTACACCTTTCTCCTCAAAGCGCTTGCATGCCGCATCGATGTCGTCAACAGCGATACAGATATGACCAAATCCTTGCGGCTCATCGTTGCCATTATGGTACTTGAAGTTGGCATCTTTCTCAGTCCCGTAATTCCAAGTCAGCTCGAGCAGACCCTCCCGCTCGGCGGTCGGATTGACACCATTCGCGGACTCTTTGGGTACGGCTTCATCTCCCAGGTACGCCAAGAAGTAGAGATTGAAGCCGTTGGACTCATTCTCCGAAGTCCGTATTAATGACATACCCATGATATCCTGATAGAACTTGAGAGATTTCTCATGGTCCTTGACCCGGATCATGCTGTGGTTGAATTTGTAAGTGGCGGGATCTGTCTCCTTGACATCCTCAGTCTTGTCAACGGGATTGAACGCGATTATTTCCACCCAGTACCCATCTGGATCGAGGGCGAATGCGATATGTCTCATGCGGCCATCTGTTAGTTTCTTCTGAAACTTGTAGCCAGCGTCTTCGATCCTCTGGCAGGCAGCTTGGATGGCGTCTACGCTGATGCAGATGTGGCCGAAGCCTTTGCCTGGATCGGAGTTGCCGTTGGCGACCTTGAAGCTGTCGTCTTTTTCGGTGCCGTAGTTGTGAGTTAGCTCTAGGATGCCTTGACGGGCAGTCCAGTGCTGGCCGGCGGAGAGACTCTTCGGGGTGTCATAGGCAAGGAAGTACAAGTCGAATTTTGCATCGGGGTTTTCTATTTTGTTGACCTGTTTCATGCCAAGGAGCTCGTAGTACTTGACTAGGCAAAGTATCAGACATCGGGAAAGAAAAAGAGAGACCGGGAAACACTTACTCGATCTTTGAGGATCCTTCACACGAAGCATCGTGTCTGTTGAACTGGTCAGGTCTACCATGCGATCTCAGTTGTTGGATACTTACGATTCAGACTGTACTTCTTCGGATCAGTAGCCATGGCTGCGTAGGCTCGATACACCGAGACTGGTGCTCGTAATTGTGGAAAGCCTAAAGTCTTGTGTGCCTTGAGTAGATTGCTGAAAGTAAACATTAATCTTCTATATACACGAAAAGCAGTTGAAGTATGTGATGCTGTTCAGTCAGTCCATCGGTGACGATGGCCATGACGTGCATGCTAAGATGTCCCGCGCCGGGAAGACATCTAGTCTCATGGAAGCCGCTCGAGCGGACCAATTGAAGCGGCAAGAATATTGAAATGAAAGACCCTCATTGGAGGAGAAAGATTGCAAGGTTGTGCCTAAAGTACATGTACCGTACCTTCCTTATTATCCTCCCGGCAGCGACAAACCTAAAGTATGTACCGTATCAAAGTCACTTGTGCAAGGAATAGAGTATGCTGTTGCATAAAATTTGTGCAGAGGTGCATTAGGCATATACGTTGTAAGATCTTAGCATCTTCCTCCCCATGTAGAGTACACTTCTCCCCATCCAAGGTGACAGCAAGGCCTGCTCTCATGAAATTTTCTCGTTGCGCTAATTTAACCGTACAAGTAGTCTACTTTCAAAGACATCGAAATTCTGAAAGCACAATTTTGAGATCCATGCAGCAAGAAATAACTAAAGAACACTGTGCAACGCTGTTTGAAGGCGAATATCCTACCTTGTTGTTCACTGCAAGAATTATCGAGAAAGCCTTGCTCTCACTCATACACGCCCTCTACCCTATCTATAACTCCACTCTGCTATCTTGCCTCATTTCTCGGTTTGTGAAAGCCTTTAGCGACTAGTTCCTTCAGATTGTTCTGTAAGATCACCGTCCCATACTATCAGTCTCAAGATCATATTGAACTAACCACCATGCCTTCAGATCCGGACCAAAGGCCTTGAACCGAGCAAGAACAGTCCCTTGTACCAGCCATCGAAAACTTCAACCTCCATCTCCCGAAAACAGCACAATCTCGCGTCCTCGACAACATCAATCACCCTCTCCATCGACGTCCTTACGTCGACGAATCCGCCACAATCATGCTCAATGCGGCAGCCATGAAGGACCTCCTGTCGGAGAATGTAGACGAGAACGCCTCCCACTTTGCGTATATCTACCTACCCTACCTGACCCAATAACCCCTTAGGCAAAAGCTGACTCCCTACACCCACAGCTTCTTCTCCCGCGCCGGCACCATCATGGGCCACGACCACGCCGCCGACGTCAAAGCCGTCAAACGCTTCGCCGCCTTCGCCGCCAACACCTGGGCGCACAACGACATTTCTATCAAAGAGACAGGTCGTACGGTCAACCCTTTGACGCCCGGCACTACGATACTCCAGGCCGTGATCAACGAAGACGGTAGCGGGTTGCATTGCTTGATCGTGCAGGTTAATGATTTGGTGGGGGCGGTGACGCATGTGAGGGAGGGGACGTTGTTGGCGGCGTTGAAGGGGAAGGAGGAGTTTGTGGGGGAGACGGATGAGGTCGCCGCTGGGATCAAGGGGGTTGATCTTTCCAAAGGGGGTGCTCAAGGGAGGGATGTTTCCCAGGGGGATGGTGTTTCTGAAGGGGAGGATAGCGGTTCAGAAGATAGTGGGAAGGGGAAGGGGAAGGGAAAGGAGGTAGAGGAAGTGGAAGAGGCAAAGCCGTCGAAGATTCAGATTCTGGTGTGGAGATCTGAGGGTATGGGGGAGTATATGGCTAACGAGCTAGGACCGAAGTTCAGGATCCCGAAGGGTTTTCACTGAGGGTGAATATCCTGGCCTCAATCAAGTCATACGGCTGATCATATTTCAGGCAAATTCTGTCTTGATCGTCATTTTAGATATGTGGGGAAATTTGGGAGATATTCGCCATCTTTATTATAGCTTGCATCGGCGTTCAGCGATGATACCCTGAGATTTAGTGGAGAAACACCATTTAAGTGCCCGATCCTACCCCGTCACATAATACATGTACTACACGGAATACATGGCAAACTTTAATCTCTCGTCGCTCTCTTCCAGATGCCAGCGACTGCTGCTCCAACGGCGACAACAGCCCCACCCACAACCCACCACCTCACCCAATCAACCTCTTCCTCCCCTTCCATCCCCTTCGGCAGTGCACCTCCAGGCCACAAAGCCGCCTCCGCAACATGGACAAACACCTCACTGATACTACCCCACGTCACACTAACATGTAACGGCTTCGCCATACCCGAGCTGGAGGTATACTCCTCTGGCTGCACGTCGCCTCTCTGGGTAGATTTGTCCATGTCTGCTTTCATAGCGATGTATAAAGAGGGCATCTGGTCGAGGTAAGTGTGTTGGGAGCGAAGTTGCAGGATATAGGCGAAGGACTCCGGATCGGAGGAGTCATAGGTGTACACTAGAATGTCTGCGGCGGCGAGCTTGGCACTGTTTTCGAGAATGGCGGGTTCGAGTTCACCCAGTTCTTCGAGGATGAGGGTGCATTGCTTCCCACCTGGTAGTTCTACGCTGTTGACGGCCGTTCGGGGCTTGATCGTTGGGTGATATGTTGGGCTGAATGGGCGTGATAGAAAAGCGTCAAGGAGGGAAGATTTGCCTGAGCCAGGGGCGCCAAGAATGTAGGCGAGAAGGACGTTGCGTTCGGTTTTCGCAAGCTTCTTACCGCGATGGTTGCGTTTGCGAGGTTTAGTGAGATGCAGAGCGGATGTGGTTTGTCGGTCGGGTGGATCGTAGCCTAAATAGGCAAGATAGGCGAGCGTGGTTTTGGGCGAGAAAAAGGTGGTCATGCTCCACTGAGCGAGCCAGCCTTGAAGGGTGATGAAACCAGCTTCGTTGCGGATGGTGGAGGATGGGAAGTCAGTGGCGGAGTCAGACCAAGTCGAGGGTAGGCCTGGAGTCGCCGCGAAGAGAGAAGTGAATTCAGAAGGGGATAGACCGCCGTCATTGTCCTTGTCGAAGAGCAGGAAGAGGTCGACGAAGAAGCGATAGCCGGCTGGGGAGAGCTCTGCGGAGATGTTGGCGGGTACGTCGAATTTGGGGTGGAGGAACGAGGAGTGGAGCGATAGGCTGTTGGAGTAGTGGAATGTGCGGAGGATGATCCAGATGGTTTCATGGCGGCCCTTTTCGGCAAAGATCTTGTTAAGGAGGATAAAGCCTTCTTGAGTTACACCCTTTGGAGTTACGGCAGAGGCAGAGTATTTTGAGATGGCTTGTTTGATATTGTCCAGGTCTTCTTCTTGGAGAGACTTGCCGAAGCATTTTGTCTGGAAATCATATACCTCTTTATCACTCAAGTAGCCGTCTTGGTCTTTGTCGCAAAGGTAAAATACCCGTTCAAGTGCAGAGACACAAGCTGGCTTGAGACAGGATTCCTTGGAGTCGAATAGCGGTGCTATAGGGTCCGTGACCGCTTTTTGGCATAGGAAGAAGACCTCGTTAATATTGTGATGCTCCCTCGCGCTGGTACGGATGCAGGAGTCAATCTCTTTGAACTCGGCCATGACAGGAAGCATCTCATCTTCGACGACTTGCTCCGTATTAATATTTGTGGAGAGATCTGACTTGTTGGCGCATAGAACCACCGGCACATTGACACCCAGTGATCTGAAATGCGGCAGCCACCAGAGCGCCACCCTTTCATAGCTGTAGTGGTCCGAATAGACCAGCAATATGACATTGGATTTTCGTATCTCTTTATCCAAATTTGTTCTCTCCTGCGGCAGCGCTGACGTATCCACGATGGTGGTTGTCACGTTCTCAGGCGTACCGATGCTAGGAGGGATGGTGATTTGAGGGAGGACGGGCTGAATCTTGTTGGTCACAAAGACATCTTTCACAAGACTCGTTATCAGACTTGATTTTCCAGTGCCCTCGTCACCACAGAGGCATATACGCACTTCAACAGATGTTAGCTTCGTCTTTTGCGGATGTCTTTTCATGAATGGCTAGTGCTGCGTTACCTGTGGCCATAGCTTCACCCCATAGCTAATCAATCTTAAGAGGTACGACACGAACTCCTCTGAACGCAAGTGCTTGATTTGACCAAGCTTCTATCAGAGCGCGCAAGTTTCGAAGCTTGGCGCTGGTAGACAAGATCATACATTCACAGATTGTCTATGCCCATAGCCAAACCTCTTGGAGCCCGAAAGATCGACAGATCGCTCGGTACCAAACCCGGGGACTCGGGCACTACGGGTAGGGCGTTTAGGCACGAGGCAGCCCGAAACCTCGAGCGTTAACCCCACATGGGGGACCAAACATAATACCACCAATGGTGTCGACAACACCCAGACCTGCGATACCCTCCGTCGAAACTCACCTTCTTATCCTCTTGTATGCTTTCTTTGTCTCCATGTACATGATATGTCTTGATAGAACTTGAGCACCATTTTCATATGTATATTTAATCTCAAGTGTGCATCATCCCCCCGAACGCCATCCCGTGCCACCATACTTGCAGCTGACGCAGGGTCCTCCCACTCGGTTTCAGCTACAGGTTCAAATTCACCATGTTGTAAGTGCTAACTTTCCAAAGCACGCAAATCATTTCTGACCATGGAAATCCAAAGTGTCCTACCACCACCGCCTCGGTACCCTATCACCCAAACCACTGCAAGCCCCAGTGGACAGACCAATGGACAGACTGTGCTGGAAATGAGCAATGTCCTTACCCATCCCAGTGGTCCCGAGTTTCAGCTGTCCGTCGGAGAAGGTTAGAACCCACAAGGTCCCCTTCACCCTGTCCCTAACACCCTCTCTTACATGATGCACTAGGCACATACATCCTCCAGGACAACCTGCACCTCGCAACACCCCCACCCCATCCCCAAGACGCCCCCACGGTCAACCCCAATCCTCTTGCTACAGCACCTATACCGCCAAAAGCAGGCATCAAACTCACAATCTGTATCACAAGCCCTCGGAAATCGTCACTGCAGCTCTATAGAGTCAATACATCTACGAGCACTGGGTCGAATTTGGGAACATACAGTATCAAGGAGAGCGAAAATGAGTCGAGGAGCTCGAATGAAACAAATAACAATGGTGCGATGACACAGCTGCCGTCTAGCAATGCTTCAGGCCGGACTCCGGTGTTTGGTGAAGATAATATTCTCTTGACTCCGGTTGCTGGGAAAGAAGGTGTGAAGAGAAAGAAACCGAAGACAAATCTAGTGAAAAGTAACTCGCAGTTTATATCGAGGGTCATACCACATGATTCGCTGAATAAACGTTTGCAAGAACATAATCCAGAGGGCATGTTTGTGTTTGCGAACATAGATAGGGCATATCAATGGCTTGATCTCTCATCCCCTACCCCTGCTAGGGTATGATCCATGAAATTTTTAGTAGGCATATTGTTGACTCGAGTTGTAGGCACAACCCCTTATGAAGATCCTTTTTGCCAAAGCTCATATGCTATGCCATGACATCAATTCGCTCACCAAAGGTCCTAACCACATCGATGTTATTATGGGTGCCTCGACTGGAGATATTGTATGGTTCGAAGCGTACTCTCAGAAGTACGTCCGCGTGAATAAAAATGTAAGATAGTATTAGCCAAAGTGCCCACCCCACCCTGACCCACCGCAGAACATCATCAGCACATCAGCAGTATCACAAATTCGATGGCTTCCCGGCTCCGAAAACCTCTTCCTCGCTGCTCATATGGACGGCAGCCTGATAGTCTATGACAAAGAGCGCGACGATGCCGCTTTCATTCCAGAATCCAACGGCGCTCCAACTCTCTCTCAAAACCCATTTGATCCTGACCTAAAACCCCTCCACATCAATAAGTCCGTCAATTCGAAAAACCAAAAGGCAAACCCTGTTGCCTCATGGAAGATCTCTAACCACCGCATCACGGACTTTGGCTTTTCACCTGACAGCCGCCACCTTGCTGTCGTCTCGGAAGACGGCTCTTTGCGCATCATCAATTACCTCAAAGAACAGCTTACAGATCTCTACCCCTCCTACTACGGCGCCTTCAACTGCGTCTGTTGGTCTCCCAACGGCAAATACATCCTAACGGGCGGCCAGGACGATCTGGTCTCGATCTGGTCCCTCGCCGAACGTCGCATCGTTGCCCGCTGCCCCGGTCACCATAGCTGGGTTACCGCTGTCGCTTTCGACCCGCGGCGCTGCGATAATCGTAACTACCGTTTCGGCAGCGTAGGCGAAGATCGCAGACTACTATTGTGGGATTTCAACGTTGGCATGCTGAGACGGCCGAAAGCAGCATCCATACGCAATAGGGCGAGTATCTCGTCGAATATTCCTGTTGGACGTAACCGTACGGAGAGCCAAGCTACGAATCGATTTAGATCAAATTCGAGTTTAGATGACGATGGTGTGGATGCAAATGAGTTTGTTGAGCATGAGGTGGAGAGCAGGACGGTGACCGCGGAGCTGCCGCCTGTGATGTCAAAGGCCATTGATGAACATCCTTTGAGTTGGGTTGGGTTTGAGGAGGAGTGTATTATTACTGCGTGTGTGGAGGGACATGTGAGGGTCTGGAAACGACCTCAGGATTGCCTGAGTCCTTGATTACTCGCGCCTGATTAGAGGCTGAGAGATTTCTCCGTTCTATGGGGATTCGTACGTTCCGAAAGTGCACGGCGGAGAGGATAGAGTGAATGAGATATTTTTGAACAGAGGAGGGCTTTTCGAAGTAGTCCTGGACTGATATGGGGTTCACTCACCCATCTTGAGTGATCAACCTTGATTGAGCGGGCAACAGCGATACCAAATGGAAGCACCAAGAAGCCAGCGACTGCTCG